ACAAGTCAGGCGAATATTAGGTGTAGTACACATGCAGACAATTGTACTTGCGTTTACCTGTTTTGAGGAGTTTGATGGCGCTGTAAGTGTTGGATTTAAGAACGTCATTTAAATTGGGATGAGGTAGATCTCTCAAGCGTGCTTCTCGAGCCGAAGACATATTTTATCCCAAAACAAGAGAGGCACACGATTCACACTCCACGCTCCTTATCGCTTCCCAAAAACATTTGTTGACTGGCTTCCGATAGAACGAGTATTCTATCTTCATTTCCGCTCATTTCAATCTATATTTGGAGATCTTGACCAAATTTGGGTAAACGCACGATCGAAAACAGTCACGGGAGGACCACGAGAAGAAAAGGGATTAGGGGACCTTAGAACGCCCGGCAATTATTGATATCATTATTTCCGCTTACTTTGAAGAATAAATCTGTAGGGAATTCTGCTGGAACTCCTCCTCCAATCCTGGTCACGTCAACAGAAAATACAACTAAAAGCATGTGAATGCAAGGACAAGAAAACGCAGCAGAGAGAGTACTCTCCAGAATCGAAACCTGCTAGTAACCAACGACTCTGCCATTCGCCTTCATTTTGGTTGTCCGCTGTAGTAACACACTACTAATGAAGATCGGACATCGAGAACATTAAAGATGGCTGATCTCCCGAGTATTCAAATGGACTTAAACGAGAGAGGGTTCGAGAAAGATTTGAAAAGTACTTTTCTTCTGGATTCGAAGGTTGTGAAATTGTATGACTACCACGATGTCCCGTACTTCCTAAGAGGAAATCCGTACGTAACGTCTGGTTACCGGGCTTTCTTATCTTTCAAAATGTGCATCAAAAGGTTTGTAGAAGGGGCAGTAGTCTTTCTCCCTTGGGTGTGGCTTTGCTTTTGTTACGGGTTGCATTGGGGTTACTTTTGACAGCATGCATACAGGGACAAGTCTTTCATGGGAGGTAAGCAGAATATTCAGAAAGAAAGGTTACAAATAAATAATATGTTGATTACTTCTCTTAACCCCAATTATCAAAGCCTTAGAACTCCAGAAAGTTTCTACTTCTTCTATTAATTATTAACCCTCAACAGAAAAAGCTGGTGTCATTAGAATTGATTACATTGATGCAATATTCTTACCTTTTTTTGTGGGCTCGTGGTTAGCATGGCAATTTTTTCGCCCTTTTTGAGTGGCTTTATGGTAAGTATGCTTAATGTTGCATTTTAAGGTCAAGGGAACTGCCCTGTTTAGCGTCATTGTGTTGCGTTAATGGTTTCTTAATCCAGGCGGAGTATGAATGAGCACCACCAAACTTTCTTGGAAACTTCAGCTGATAAAATTAGGGGATGAACTACATAGCTGATTAACTCACTTTCTGCAAATGAGTAGCCTGGAGAAGCAGTTTCAAAAATTATACTCCTCGTAATTTCATACATATCAAGGTGGGATTAGGTCCAACACCTCTTCTTAGTTTAACCCCTAAAAGTGATAAGCATCTAATTTCTCCCAACAGCTTCACCCTAAATCAAACATAAAGGTTTTGAGAACAAAGGAAATGACCACAAACTCAAGAAGCTCTTGATTGTGAGACAAATTCTCTTTGTAAGAACTATAGGAAATGATATAGAACAGCATAGAGAACTTGCATACTGATGTTCGGGTGAAAAGATTAAAAATTCTTTATTTGTAAAATTACTCTGACCTTTGAAATTTCTCTTCACTTTGCAGTCTCTTTGTACTGTCTAATGAGTCCATCAACATCTGGTCTCACTTACTTGGATTCTTGTACTTCTTTTACCTTCTCCTTGTTGATAACTTAGCCAAGATTCCAGAACACAATGGAACTTTTTCTGATCATGTGGTGCTCACATGTTTACTTATTGGCTATATGGTAAGAAAGACACCTTGAAAGTGGATGAAATAAAAAAATTCAAACAATTTTGCATTGTTCCAGAATCCTTCATCCTACTAGATAAAGCAAACAGTAATGGTTTGTTTTGTTTCAAGACAGTACTATTGAATTTAACTTTTGACAAGCACCATGTTATTACTGTTAATATAAACTTATCCCCAAACTCACTTTGCCCATGGAATCTTGAAGGCTGTTTAAAATAAGCAATTATTGTGTGCTTGGTTGCCAAGCCTTTGAATAGGAGTGAGGCTAAGGGTAACCTTGTGATGATACAAACCTTGCTGCTTTTCAAATATAAATTACTTTGTTATCATGCTAACTAGATACTGGTCTCTATCACAACAAGGTCACCTTCAGCCTTACTCCAAATCAAAGGCTTGGCAACTAACTACACAACTGTAAAATGGCCTATTACAGAACAGAGCAGACTTCCAACTTGTGCTCACCAAATGCTCATCCTTACTCCTGAACAGTGGCATGTTTCCTCTTTTCCAGATTTGCATGTTCTTTTCTGCCTTCTATCATTTATTTTGCTGTCACTCTGAAAGAGTTTTTCACCTTTGGTTGTCACTTGACCTGGCTGGCGTCTCACTTGGTGTGTGTGCTTGCTATGTGCCTGCGGTTTACTACGCATTTTATTGTCATGTGGTAAGGGATATACAGTGTATCTTGGAATATATATTTATTCAGATAAATGTTAGTGGGAATCTATATTCAATTTATTTTTAATCCTTTAACTCCCACAAGTGACCAAGACAGAGTTTCTCCTTATACTTCTGATACAACATGGAGCAGACAAGTAATGAGAAAAAAGAAAATCAAAATAATGGATTATTAGTTGATCTTATACCAATTTCTCCAAACTCACATTACATCAGAGAGACAGCAAGGAGAATTACTAATGAGACTTTGGGAGTGAAAGGGTAAATATTTAGGTTATGAACACTAGATTTCTATTGCTTGGTAGTTGATAAAGGGTAGCACTCTAGAATTGTGAGTCATAGGTGTGAGATTCTCCAGTATTCACAAGTGATCGACAGCTTTAATGGGCAGGCATGTGACATGCATAGCATATGTGAGATATAAAGACTCCGATCATGACTTTCACTCAGGTTGTTGGAACTTTGGTCATTGTAACTGTCAACAGTCCCTATTGGGACAGCCCTTACCAGCATGATCAGAGTACATAATCAACGGTAAAATTTACCTTATATAATTTTTAGGCCATGAGGATGATCTATTATCACATCAGTATATAATCACTGGTGGTTCAAATACCTTGCTATAACAAAGTGGGAGGGAAATTTCTTCACACTTTGTTATAGCAAGGTATTTGAATTTCGAAAAACTTTTTTTTTTTTTTTTTTAGTAACAGTTAAGTCTAGAAATCTAAAATAATACTTTTTACTTTGAATTGATCTTCTAGACTTGGCAAAGCATTTACCTGGGTGGTGTGATTCTTCTGACTTTTGTTTCATTGGCATTTCAATTTCATCATTCTTTCTTGACATCAAATTGGGCAAGTAGACGTCTTTTACTGTTCTGTAGCCTGGTGGCATATGGTGTGGTCCCAGCAATCCACTGGGTACTGCTGCTTGGAGGATGGAATGACTTCTCTGTGAGGGTAGGTACACGAAAGTTAGTTTAAGAAGGATAGGTCTTGCTACCCAGATGTTTTACCTTGGAGAAGATTATCATTGATGATAACCAAAACAGTGTACAAGATACTTTGATTTTTTAGGTGCAATTTGTTTGCTAATTCTCATGCTTTGAAGCTCACCTTTGGAAATCCATTCTAATGAGAGATCCACTTTAAGAATCAGCAAATTGAAATGCAGGGTAAAGGTGATTTATTTTCAAAATGAAAGTCTCTAAATCATTCTTCTCAACAGTATTCTAAAAGTATTATTAAATTAAAAGTATTATAAATTTACTTTTATTACCCGAAATCTAACACATTTTAATTGTTCTTTTAGCTCTTCATTCCAAAAGTGGTTGTCATGTATTTGCTGGGAATTCTTGCTTTAGGATTTTATGCACTTAAAATACCAGAACGATATTTCCCAGGTAAAGTAAACAACGTGATTGTGCTTTAATTTAAAATGAAATTCATGAAACTTGTGTTCAAAATGATAATTACATTAAAATTGTTAGCTAGAATTGCTATTTTTCACTAAATTGTGACTGATATCCACCACTTTCTTTAACTGAGGTGAATAATTGTGGTTTGTGTCGACTGCACAAGCTCATTTAGTCCTTAGTGCACCCCAAAAAATGCTGATTTCACTCTTTCCACCCCAACATCAATATGGGTATTCTCCATACTGTTCTCTATTAAATTTACTAAGGTGTTAACAAGGGGAATTTGTTTAACAATCATGACTCATACAAGCTTTTCTTTAGTCGCTGATCATTTCCTTTATTCTCATAATCTTAACATGTGATTTAGGGGTTACATTGTTGGGAGAAATTAGATGCTAGTCACTCTTAGGGGTTAAAGGGTTTATTAAGTTTTCTTGCCATACAGTGCTCATTTCATTTCCCATCGCCTTTCCTGTGGTGAAAGTGGCTCTGTCAGTTGGGGAAAAACTTGGAAAAAAACTTGAAAAAAAAATTGAATGAGAGCCCAAGTTCAAGAAAAGCTTGGATTCATGTGTCCTTTTCTACCAGTTTTCCTGAGCAGAATGTTCCTGATACAATATTAAAGCTAAAGTTAAGTAGGGTAGTTAATTAACAATAACTTTGAGGCAAAGTCTTAATCATCTGAAATTCCAAAACAAAGGTTGGGTTGGGCAATGGGAAACAGAACATTCTATGGGAGAGGCCTAAGGTATGTAGTACTTATGGTGACCCATAACTTTTTCCTTCTCCTTTTGCAGGTAAACTAAACTATGTTGGATCAAGCCATCAATGGTGGCACCTATTTATTGTTGTAGCTTTTTACTGGTGGCACAGATCAAATCTCATCTACATGAAGTACAGATTGGAATATCAGTGTTTAACAAACAGTGAACTTTCAACTTCGGACTTTCCATTTGAACTTGATTTATTAGAACAGATTACTGAAAATAGTATATTTTAATGTTATCAATAGTAAAAAATAAACTTGATATATTTTAGAACCATTATTAGCATTTCTCTGTGTCTAAGACTCCTTTTTTTGGTTCATTTATCATCTGTAACAGATGAAATGGAATGAAGACTAGCAAGTCTTTGTTTGCCTCTCAGCTGCTTTGCCAGTCGTTTTGACAGAGGAGCAGGCATAAAATCATCAAATGGTGAATCAACATTTTCTTTCCCATACTTATCTCCTTGAACTTCTTCACATCTACCAGCTGAGTAAACATCAGAGAAACCATCAGATTTCACAGCTGTTTTGGATTTACAATTTGAACTCTGAGGTGCACTGATTAGGCCATTATTTTGTGGCTTAAGAACTTGCCCTTTGGATTCTAGTAGTTCCTTCTTGCTTTTCTCTGTGTCATTTACATACTTCATGTCATCTTTACTTAAGAAAGCCCTTGAATGATCCCTCAAAAACTCTTGCAAACTACCTGGCACACACTCATTTGTCCTAAAACTATATTCCTCAGGGAAATTGTGCTGATGAGTTTGGCCTAAAAAGTCTGAATTTGCATAATGGACTGGTCCCAGTAAGCTTTTCATCTCTGAGGACTCAGTGACAAAACCAGGAATTTCATTTCTTGACTTGATCTTACTTACACTTCCTTTCAATGTCTTTTCCGTGAATTTTGAAGAGACCTGCTTTGACAAAAATGATTTGCTATCATCATCCTCATCACTGGACCCAAAAATTTCAATAACATCAGCCTCGCTTAAGACTGTCATTTGCTTTGATTTTTTTATATTATTTACTAACATAAATTTCTTTCCATGTTCATTTATATTTCTGGACTTAAAGTCATTTTGAGTTGTACTTTCTGAAATGGATTTAACCTCCTCCACTGTCCTTGCTTCATGTCTTTTCCTTGGATATTCATTTGTTTTAACATTGGAAATTTTCTTATCTGTCATGTCATGATTCTCAATGGAAAAATCAACTTGAAGATGACACTGGGTTGCTTGAACATCTCTTAACATCAAAGATTTTGATATCCCCTCATAACTGCCATCAACTCCACACCCATATTCAGAATCAAGATTATCTGGAGCTAATTCCCTCTGTAATAAATTGGGATCCCCAGGTATATTCACATTGCACTCTTTTATGTCATCATCATCATCATTGTCATCACTGTCATCACTGTCATCATGATATCCATCATCATCACTATCAGGATGACCACTATTGACAAGTGAGAGTTTCATCCTTGGTGGATGTAGTGAGTAACCATTGAATGTTGGAAGTACAGAGTCAATAACATCTTGAGAGGAATCATTAGTGGAGACATCGCCAAATAAACTGCTAGAACAACTTTCATTTTTTGGCACAGAACTTTGCAATTGTTGAGAATGACCCACACTTAAATCTTCAAGCTGCCTTGATAGAAACTCCACTTCATTTTCAAGATAGTCTGAAGAGGACACAGATGTAGTGGCTTTCTTCTTTTCTGAAATAATAAATAAGTACCAGCACATATATTGAATACATTGAAAGGTAGAAGCTTAGTGAATTTAACAACCTAAGTAAAAACTGTCTCTCATTATGATCACAGTTTCCCTCAGAAAATTGAAAGACAGGTCAGAATCAGCAAAGAGGAATATCCTATCAGCTTACTTGTTTTTTTGGACAGTTTTGCTGCTTCATTCTTGTGGAATTCTTCAACAACCTCAGGATATGCTTGAGTAAAAAGCTGAAAAAAGTCAAGGTTAAGAATATTTGGTATCTCAAATCAAAAGCCCCATATACAATAGTACCAATAATTGCCGCAAGAAAATACTCAATTACTAATGAAAAAATAGTTCATGACTGCATTCTGTCTCACTGAAGAGACTTGTCAGATTCAAAACTCATGACCATGCAGTTTGGAACCCCTCTACAATAAAAGGCCAGACCACAAGCAGCTTAACCCAATGGCACAAAAAATTGTGAAAAGATTCTGGTGAGTCTCCTATGGTCACAATGAAATACCATGTACAGTGTACATCATACAACCGAGAATAAAGGTTTTCTTAAATTCCTACAGGTCATTTGATTTAATCACCTACTGATCAGCTATAGTTACATGACAGGTTCAAAGAAATTATTGCAAGAAAGTGAAGTGCTGCCATGAGTTTGATGTAGGAAAAGATTGACGCAAGAAATGAGGAGATGAATGTAGGAGCCTATGAAACCCTTTCATTATTTTCCTCATATAATAATCTTAACCTTGATAATGTGTCTAAATTAAATTCATAACTAAATGATTTTCCTCTTCTTGTTTTTCATCACTTCATTCATCAATCTCTACTAAATTACATTTGGTAGAGCAATTTTTTTCCAAACAATTTGTTTCAAACCCTGGTAATACCTCTCTTCTCTCAATGGTCACAAAAGAAACTGGACATGTTTCTCCAAGTTTAAGGTTTTTCCATTCAACTTCATAACATTCAATCCTCTGTTGGACACGAGATTTTACAATCCTAAATACAAGATAAAACACCATATTGGTACACTGATCTTAATTTAATGATAAGCCTGTATTGATCAAAGTAACTGAGAATTACTCATTAGGAATGGTATGTTCTATGCAGATCAATATAGAATAAAGTTTAACATTCCAGCCACTCTAAAGTTAGTTTTACCTTTCTGGTTGAATGAGTATCATTGTGTGATTCTCTAGCGATGATGTCATTTGCCAAAAGGTGATCAATAGAAGAACCTAGAATTTAAGAAATCTCTTTGAACTAAGCTTTTATCAACAAGCATTCTTCATGCATACAGTAACTTTCTTTATCATCCTCAGTATGAAATAAGCATGAAGAAGTATTCTATGATATAAAATTCAATATAACCTTTTCTGTGATATATTCCTCAGGCCACTCCAAGTGCTTGAGGCAGAATTCCTAAAAGAGTGGACAATTCCCTAACTTTTAGTGCTCACAAACGGGAATATATATTTGCTCATATGTACAAATTATGTGAAAATAGATAAAAATATATTTCATGAACAGGTTAAGAAAAGGAAATCAAGATAACCTGGGAGGGAATTTGCCTTTTTACAATAAAGAAAGGCACAACAAATAATGCAAACAAAGTTTAATGAATTTAAAATTTGAAGTACTGAACACAGTAAATAAAAAAATGAGGCATTAGCATGGCATAAAGGAGTATTAGTTAAATGAATGCTAAACTTTATCTCCTTGAGGTTTTCCTCAAAATATGATTCATACAATCGTAGTATACTGTTAAGTTACACTATACATGTATGACTAAGTTCACTACAGGTTACAGTCACCTGCAAGCCTCTTAGATCTGGATTGAAGATCTTTAAGGAAACTTGCTGAGGGACAACTTTTGGTGACAGAAATTCCTGAATAACCTGATGATGAGAAACCAAAAACAGTCTGAAACAGAGACATTCAACAAGAGACCTACCATTTTATGATCCTATGCAAGAGAATACATTATATATTATACATTATTACATAATCTTTGCAATCAATGAAACAATTACTAAGCTTCTATATAACCCTTTACACCCTAACATCAGTATGCATATTCTCCATACTGTCCAATATACTTTTCCTAGGGTAATGACAAGGAGAATTTGTGCAACAATCAACAGTTGGTGATCATTTCCTTTATTCTCATGACCTTAATTTGTGATTCAAAGGTGATGTTGTGAGGAGAAATTAGATATAGGTCACTCTCAGGGATCCAAGGGTTTATTACTTCCACTACTTCTTGGTTGGGTCACTAAATAAACGTTTTAAATATTGTACAGAACATGTCTCTTACTAATTTATGTTCACTTACCTCTGGATGTGGGAAGTTCTTGTCTTTTAGAGCTTTGCTATAAACAAGTTAAATTACTGGTGGTTAAAAAATGGCTGTTGGGAAAAAAAGCTCTAAGGCATTTATTCAATAAAAATAATATCACTTTTAGGCCATTGTCACAGTTTCATGCTTGTATCTAGGGTTTTATTTAAAGACAGCTCATATATTTTGTCAAGCAAAATTTGTTCAGCGAAAAAATGTTTGCTGAATTCAAATAAAAAACTCTACACTGGTCATCTAGTCCACCTACAATATCCATTGAAGACTATTAATAACATGGCGCTCCACTTGAGATTGGTTAGTTACAGGGTTTGGCAACTGTTTTACAAATTTTGTCACTTTATCAAAAGATTTACCATTTCACAAGCTTCTCCACGCTTGAAAGAATTTCATCATGGTCTGAAACCTTTGTCCATTCATAGAACCTTAAAGAAATCAATCCAGAATTAATGCAAGTACAAAACAAATGAAAACAGCCTAACAGCTGTATCATCTGTAAACTATTGTTAAGAATGTCATGACTGTGTCAGTGTCACCTTATAAGAGCACAAATTGCTATTGATACCAGAGGTGCAAAATCATTGTTTGAATGACAAAATGTTCACAACTTTTGCTTTTAGGACTTGTTGTGGTTTTCCATAGAATCTTGAGCCAAATATCAATTAAACCTGTGTGCCTTTAAAGGCAAGTCATGCTCTTATCAGCTACACAATCAAGAGAGGTCAATAAATGAAGCATACTGTAACTGGCACTGATTGCAATTAATTAAAAGTAGATAACATTGAATTTTAAGTATTATTTCAACCTGTCAAGTAGGTTTTTGTGATTGACACTCTTAATTAGCTTCATGGCAATTTCCTTTCCTACTCCTGATACGCCTTGTGGAAGGTAATCACATCCTAGAAGTATGCCAAGTGCAACCAGCTTCTGTCTGTTGAGATCTAAAATAAAGCATGAAAAAGCTACATATAACAGTTTTAATTTAACCATCTGTTGAAGATTGTAGTGGGATGGCACAGAGGTGAAAGTGCTGGCCTCCCTGTGGCCAGGGTAAAATTTTAGGTTGAGTTTGTTGATGGTTCTATTTCTTGCTCTGAGGGATTTTCTCCAAATCTGCCAGTTTCCTCCCTACACTGAAACTAACATTTGAAATTCCAATTTAATCTAGAAACAGTTGACAAGCAGAGCCACCTCATGGTATGTTCACTGCTAAATTCATATATTTTCATTATTGTTACACCTGTAGGCAAACCCTGGTGATTTATCAAGCATGCATTAGTATTCAAAATAAGGTTATGGAGAGGAATCTGAGACAAAAATATTGAGTTCTAGGATAATTGATTTCTCCAGTGAACAGAGCTAGTGAGGAGTGCAAGAATTTTCACTCAGCAAGAGCTCCCACAAGAGAAAAATGAAGAAAGAACAATGGTGGACTTCTTTGGAAAACATGATGAGAGCAGTCATGGTGTGACATACCAAGTTTGGCTTCAATCTCTTCCATTTTGTAACATTCTACTGATCCACCCTGAAAATTTAAACAAAAAAGAAGCTTAAACACCTTAAAACTAGATCTTTTTTTAATGTTTATGAAGGTTTTGCCCCATTATATTGCAAGTTCATTCCCTTCCACTTATGCAAGTTCACCTCCAGAAGCGAAGCCAGTTTGCTCCTACTTTTACCAGTTCACCCCAAATTTTCAAATTGTTTTCTTACAGCAGAACACATCCATTTCTCTTGGTTTTGTTATGCATGTATAGCTTTTTCCATGGAATACAATAACATTCTGTGATTCTGTTGCTCACAGTTTACTTAGTTTCACAGTAAGATGATTGAACTACATGGACCACAGTCTGAAGATGCCTCACCTTTCCACTGATACAAAGATCTCTGTACACTGTTCTAGCTCCATACAAAAATGCATCTCCATCATTGGTTATACACCCATCCACAATCTGTAGGTAATTGATTTATTTACTGTTAAGTATAACTTTTATTTGCTATACCAAAAGTTATTAAAAATCAGACTCTCAATATCAAATTTATCAAAAATTAATTATACTCAGGCAATATAAGATCACAAATAGGCAATATTTAAGCCACCATAAAGAGTTTCAAAGTTGATGATTCAAGCATAAGCCCTTCACCATTCACTCTCAGTGATAAATTCTCCTTGTAAGTAAAATGAAAAGAGGACAGTATTGAGAATATGCATACTGAAGTTAGGGTATAAAGGGTGAAATATCACTTATCATTATAACCGTGATGAACAAACACACCTTTCAAAACAAGAAGTAAAATATCTCTAAACCTACCTGATGGAGATCAAGCCATGCACAAAGTGCTTCAGCTTCACCCTCACTCTCAAGACATGGCACCCCTAGTAGGTTCAACAACTTCCGGCACTGTGTTAAAAAAAGATTTTTCTAATTTACTAACAAATGCTAAGCAGCAAGGAAGAGAGTTAACCCTTTAACTCCCATGAGTGACCAAGACAGAATTTTTCCTTACAATGTTGATACAATATCAACCAGATAAAAAGAGATCAATTTGGGGATAACAAGTTGATCCAATACTAAATTCTCAGAACTAACATCATATGAATTGTATGGCTGACAGTAAGGAGAATTACAAATTTGATCTGAGAGTTGAAGGGTTAATTGGACTGAATGTATTACAAAAAAAGAAAACAAGGTTTATTGCCAGTACACTGACATTTGCGACCTGCCAGCTCTCAAGTATTAAATTTACAAAAACCTCATAAATGTCTTCAGAGTTATCTCATGAATCCTAAGTTATTTCTTACACCTGACTTGTGCATTTGGAAAATCAATAGGCACACTTCTTCATAAAAAGGGGGGGGGAAGGGGTTATTGGAATAGAGGATAAAGTGTTTTCAAATTGCGTGACCAGTGAAGATACCAAATTAAAGGTCCCAATGAACTACGAAATTTTTGCTATTTGCAATGCGTAAACTTAGATGCAAATATCTGATTTTTCACAATGCACTATATCTACTTCATGTCTGTGAAACATTGGCAAGACTTCCCCTTTACCCCCCTCTTCAAACCAGTTTTTACACTTAAAAGAAAAGTGTGTAAGTAATTCCTCTCTTTAGCATCATAGACTTTTAGAAATTGTTAGTCAGTGTTCTGAGAAACACATCTAAATAACCCTTAGACAAACTACACACCTTAAAAAATTGACCCTCAATACCCAAAAACCGTTAGCCAGGCCTGATCCCATGTAGTATAAAAATCACGCCAGTTCTGCGTTCTAGCATAAGAAACATTCAGGCATAATACAGAAAGAGATCTGGTAAAAAAATGAAAACGTAAAAGAAAGATGATCTTACCTCTCTGACCCAAATCGCAAACTGCGATCGACCGACACGAGCCCCCGAGCCAGCGCTAGCTTTAGCAGGTTTCTTGACCTTGCAGAACTGCCCGCCATCTCTCGCTTGAACTCGCTTGGCGATCGCATCCCATTTCAGTTCAGGCGGTTTTCCATCAACAACAAACACCAACTTGACTCCAAGTCGAGTCAAGTGAAGCAATCGGAAGAAAAGATTTCGCAAGTGCGGTTTATTTACGTTGTTTTTCAAACCTTTTGCACATTGAGCCTCACAAATCCACCCACTTAAGTCCACACAGAGCGTCTTGTTGCGGAGGGCAGAGAGGTTTTCCGTTCTCTTGGCTGGTTCTAAAATAAACCAGAGATTATTGACACCCATCTAAGAA